TTGTGCTATACAAATAAATTTGCCTTGCCTTGCCTTGCCTAAAAATCTCACTGATTAATTTTTTAAGTGTTTGTGGTCCCCCTGCAAGAAGAAAATGGTCTAGGTCCCCGAAGGCTATGAATGCGCCCTTAAAGAAGCAGGTACGTTAATGATCATGATTTTAAGGTGAACTGTAAGCGCTCCTCAATCCACTATGGTTCTGTCCCGATGCGCCGCTGCGCGCGCATGCGCGCTGCCTCGCGGCAGTGACTAGACATTCGGTCATAGGAGCGGTGGAGGGGGGCGCTCGAGCCACGTCCATGAAGCAAATCAACGCTTGAAGGCGGATTACAAAGAGGCTGAGGAGACTAATTGCGACATCTGCAGCGTCTTCTTTCATCTCCCCTAAAATATCGGCTTGGGAGCGCACAGGTTCGGCCCAGACTGCCTGTTCTGTTGATGCCGGTAGGTCAGTCAGCACAAGCACAGTCCGCCATTCCCCCTTATTTTATGTTTAACCAGACCCTCTTCCATGCATTGATGGAGGAAATTGGCAGCGCAGGGGCTCCTGTGCAGAACTGGGAGGATTTGTCTATGTTCAGATCAAGTTCAGCGCTGCTGGGATTTTTTTACGCATCGAGCAGTTTGGTGCAGCGCAGCAGAGAATCTCCTGAAAAGCGTTGGAGAAATCCCCTCTGTTCTGGAAATGAATCATTATTTTCTTTATATCATAAAATTAAACTGCCGCGCGGCTGCATTTAAAATTCTGCTATAATATCAATTTATTTATATTAAAAACAGATCAAACAGACTTAATAATTCTATATATTAAATAGACAATTTTCCTTTTTTTTTCTTTTTTTTTTTTTTTCTCTGTTTGCTCCTTTTCTCCCAGGAGCAGGAGATCCAGGGCGATGTCAACACCTGATCCTCCCATGGGGGGTACTCCCCGTCCGGGTCCCTCCCCCGGTCCTGGCCCCTCCCCAAACGCAATGTTGGGCCCCAGCCCAGGTCCTTCCCCTGGCTCCTCTCACAGCATGATGGGGCCCAGTCCTGGTCCTCCTTCATCTGGGCACTCCCAGCCGGGGCCCTCTGGATATGGCCAGGAAAACATGCACCCTCTGCACAAAGTAAGGACAAGTCAGTCCAGGGCGTCCTACTCTGACCCTTTATGATTTCTAACAATTCAATTACAATGTTAATGAAAAAATATGATCTATTTATCTATGAATGCAGATGATATGATATATTTATTCTCTAAATTACTTCACATTGCGGGGCTGCTCAGTGGAGCAGTGGGTGGCACTGCTGCAGCAAGTAGGTTCTGGGTTCGATTCCCGGTCCAGGGTCTTCCTGCAGGGAGTTTGCATATTCTCCCTGTGCATGTGTGGGTTCTCTCCGGGTACTCCGGGTTCCTCCCACCGTCCAAAAACATGACTGTTAGGTTGATTGGCTTCTCTACAGACTTAGGTGTGAATGGTTGTTTGTTATGTTTGTCTCTGTGTTGCCCTGCGATGGACTGGACCTGTCCAGGGTGGACCCTGCCTCTCACACACTGACTGCTGGAGATAGGCACCAGCACCCATGCGACCCCACTCTGGATAAGCGTGTTAGAAAATGGATGGATGGATGGACGTTACACTGCATTGTCTAGGCTTCATTTATCTTTAAACTCCAGTTGAAAAGTTTTATTAACGCACACATTAATCCCCATCCAAGATGGAGGAAATCTTTTAGAGTATGCATTTTCCTCATTTGTACTAGTTTTGTCATATAATCTGCTTTATGGGGTCCACTGCCAGAGGTTACCTGCTTACAGTGTTTTTAAAATGTAATAATTGTTTTAACAACGAAAAATAATATATAGGCGCCTATTACTTTACAGGTTTTCTGTTTTAGGAAATGCCATAAATTAGCGTTGGTGTGTTTCTATTTATTATCACTTAAAGCCTTTAGCGGTATGTTTCCACCAGTTTGGTGCATCAAGAAGCTGAGATGTTCTTTGCAAAATATCTCAAGCTCAGGAACATTGGGTGGAACAGCAATTAGACTTCTAGCTCAGAAGTATCTTTAGACGTGAACAGTTCCATTCTAGCTGTAAGTCTATGGTTGTTGTTAAGCTGCAGGTTGAACCTGTTTCCTGAATCAAGTCAAGTTTGCCATTGGTTTCCTTCTAGCTTTGCCTCATAGGTTCATCCATGTTCCCAGGGACTCTGATCGGCTTCCCTGTTCCTTCAGTAAAAACATCCTCAGAGCCTACTGCTCCCATCACCACCCCTGACCAGAAAGTTCTGGTTTGGTCTCATCCAAATAAAACCCTTTCTCCCCCAGATCACTGTGCCCATTGCGTGGCTGATGGCAAACTGAACCTCTTACAGCTCCATTTCAGCAGTAGCGTTCCTCCATAAAAGTCAGATTTGTAGAATTTTGTGTGAACTGATTCTTCCACCTGAGCTGTAGATCTCTGCAGCTCCTCTTCTGATTATTTGACCAGTTGTGCTTGCCAAGGAGACACTGGTTGTGTCTACTTCTGTTTTCAAATGATGGACTGAATAGAACCCTGAATGATTTTTAAAACCAAGGATATTCTTTTCTATTTTAAATTTCTCTAAAGGTTTCTCCCTGACCCATCTGCTGTTAACTTTTGGTCTTTAAGGGGCAGTTTGTTCACTAATGTTCACTAATGATCCTCTGAGGCCTTCACAGAACAGATTTTACTTACTCTCAGGTCAACTGTATTCATACATGATTTCATTTGGAGGTCTCCAAGTAAAGGGGGCTGATTATAAACACAAGCCATATGGACTTCATTCTGCATTTAATGTCTCATTTTCTCTTTGAATATTTCCTACAGCCGATGGAGGGTATGCACGAGAAGAGCTTGTGTGAGGACAGTCGCTTCAGTCAGATGAAGGGGCTGTCGATGAGACAGGGCGGGCACAGCGGTATGGGCCCCCCACCCAGCCCTCTGGACCAACACTCACAAGGTAGTTTAACAATCTGAAGTAATGTCATTCCTTCCAGGGTTGTGTAAGAACAGGAGTGGTGGAATTGGGGGCGATGTGGTTGCATTTCCTCACAGGCAGTGTAGCTGTTGTCACACCCTACAATGTATGAAGGATTGTTTTCACTCTGTTCATTTGTTTTCTTTTTTTTTGTGGGTACTAAATGGGAATAATTAACACACAACTCAGTGTAGCTTAAACAAAAAAGAAAAGAGTTTGTTATCAGACAACAGCTGTGTGGTATTTCCTTCTGTTAGACATGCAGGGACTAACACCCAGCTGGTCTTGGGTTTAACGCAGGGAGTCTGTCTGAGAAAGCTTTTGAAATAGGAGTTTTGCAGGATTTAATGAGGGTTAGGTGGTGATTCATTGTTTAGGTTTGCTGCAGGCTGTGGAACACAAAATGGTTTTGATATTTCAGAATATGCATGTCACGGATCTACTGAGACTGAAACCAGACTGCGGTCACCGTTGTTTTGTTATAATTGCTCCCTCCTTGCGTTTGTGTTTGGGTCCTCCAGGTTACCATTCTCCTCTAGGTGGCTCCGACCACTCCAGCCCTGTCGCTTCAAACGGCCCCCCATCTGGTCCTCTTATGCCATCAACCTCCTCCTCATCCTCCTCTGCTGGTTCTGCCTCAGCCTCTCTGGACGGTCCCAGTGTCGATCAGCATTCTTTGGGGCCTAATCGTTCTGGACCAACAGGGAGTTCTGGACCTGGCCCAAGCCCTGGGCCTAGTCTTGGCTCTAGCATGCCCAGTCTTGGTTCTGGCCTTGATGGTAGCGGCCCTGGTGGTCCTGGTGGTCCGACTCCCTTTAACCAAAATCAGCTTCACCAGCTCAGAGCCCAGATCATGGCATATAAAATGCTAGCCCGGGGGCAACCCCTGCCTGACCATCTCCAAATGGCTGTACAGGGAAAAAGGCCGATGCCAGGGATGCAGCAGCAGCAGCCCATGTCCAGTCTGGTCTCTGGAGCTGGTGGAGGACCAGGTGGTGGTCCAACAGGACCCGGATCAGGGCCTGGGCCAATGGGCTCCAGCTACAGCCGGCCTCATGGTGAGTGTCCATGTAGAATGTGCAGAATACTGATGTAGATCTTTTCGAATTGTAAAAAAAAAAAACGTAAAAACAATCAGATGTTGTTGTATTTTTTTCTGATATTAAATTAATTAGTAAAAGTCAACCAATGAAGCACAGGTGTTATGTATCCTTGTATACCTTAGGTATGATGGGTCCCAACATGCCTCCTCCTGGTCCTTCAGGGACTCCAGTTGGAATGCAAGGACCGAATCCCAATGGACCATCCAAGTCATGGCCTGAAGGTTAGTTGTTTTCCTGTCAGACTACAAAATGAAGCAACTTATTTTGAACTCTGTCACCAAAATCTTATTCTATGTATGATACTATTCAGAAAATCTATGAAACCATCCCCTGAAAAATATTTTAGCTGATGAATTCTGACCTTAACCATCGCAAAGGGGTTTGACTACAAGCAGCAGGTATAGCAATAAAGTAACAGAATCAACAACCAAACCAAAAGATAAACATACCAGAGTCTCAAATTTGATCCCACTGCCTAAAATATATATAAAAAAAACAATAATTGTGAAATGTATTATATTTAGGCAGAAAGAAAATATTTCTGCACCAAAAAGATGAATTCATTTCTGATGATGAATGATGCTGTGTCACATTTTAGTCTGTTTTTTTTTTGTTTCCCAAAAATACCTTTTTCAGACACATCCTATTTGCTTTGGGTAGTTTTTTTGATCAATTACCGGTTTTATATACCTTTGCTATAATAAAGCTTTAATAATGTGTACAAGTTTCACACCAATTATGTGTGTATCTATGGACTAACAGCTGTTGCAGTGTAACTGAAAAACAGTTCTCTTACGTATAGATGCTGTTGAAAAAATGAAGTGCCTAAAATAGTTATTTTATAAATGTATTGACTCACTTTAATAGAGCTAATTATGGCTCCAAAAATTATCATAATTTCAATTCAATTCAGTTTATTTATATAACACCAATTCACAATACATGTCATCTCAAAGTTTTCTATCTAAGGAAAACCAGTTGATTGCATCGACTCATTGATTCAAAGGCAATCCCACGCAATAAGCATGATTGTAGCGACAGTGGAGAGGAAAAACTCCTTTTTAACAGGAAGAAACCTGCAGCAGACTCAGTGTGTGCGAACATCTGCTGAGGCTGAACGGGGTTCAAGGAGACAGAAGCAGACATAGAAAAAGAAACAGAGATTAAAAAAAAAAAGGCAACTGTAAACCAGCTCCACCGGTGGCTCTGTCCAGGAATCACACAGCCAGGCAGACGAGCTCAGAGCCAGGTCTCATGTCAGAGGATGAAGAGAGCACATCCAGTTAGTCACAGTCAGAGAAACAGGACTACACTGAAAAACAGGCCGATCTCGATTATCTAGAAACAAAGGTGTTGATGGCAGCAGCACAGCTGATATTTCTCTCCAGGATGGTGTCACACATTTCAAAATCAAACTTTCTTTTAAAGGTTGTTTATTTTCTTTTATGCTGTGATTTCTACCCACTTGAGCAATCAACGATTAAATCCTAATTTCTATAGTCTATTAATATGTTTCGATATTCTTATTCTGCGCATTTGTTACACAACACATAAAGTTGTTTCTTGCTGCGCTTATCCATCCTTAAATCTGTTCATCATAAGCCTTAATCTTTAGAAATGTCTAAATGCAGCTGTACCTACACTTAAATAAAGATCTATATTATGGGTTAGGATGTGAGTTATGATCATTTTAAACAAAATTGAAAAAATTAATGTTGAGTTGATTTTAAACGATGTAATTTGCTGCTTTATGTTGTCAAAGATTTATTGTTGTAAAATGCCGGATCCTCCTGTGTGTTTAGCAGAAACCTGTTAAAGTGTTTGTGTGCTGTGGTGGGAGGGGCAGAGCTTTACTTTAAACTTTCCTTTCCCTCAGGCCCTATGGTGAACGCAGCAGCGCCTTCCAATGCACCCCAAAAACTGATCCCTCCTCAGCCCACCGGTAGGCCTTCTCCTGCTCCCCCATCGGTTCCCCCAGCTGCCTCTCCTGTGATGCCCCCACAGACCCAGTCTCCTGGTCAGCCAGCTCAGCCTCCTCCCATGATGCCTTACCACGCCAAGCAGAACCGCATTACTCCCATCCAAAAGCCATGCGGCCTCGACCCCGTGGAGATTCTACAGGAGAGGGAGTACAGGTATTACAGCCTTATAGGGATTCCTCTTACTTTATCTGAAGTAGCTCACAGTTTGCCTACTGGTGTAAATAAAAACTAAATTTATGTGGAGCTAAAAAGTTTGCTTTTAAGTTTAGGGCAGTTTCTCAATATGTGTACTTGTGCGTTCTAAAGTACTCATGTGCTCATGAAATGTCATCAGCCTCAGACCTAGTACTGTTCCAATTCAAAAGAACATAAGACCAAGAACAGACAAAGTCCCCGGATATTGTTCTCGCCCCTCCCTCTTTACCCAGCATGCTTCAGAGCAGACTTGTCCGTTCTTGAGATTGACAGCTGTCCCAGCATGCACCGCGGCAGCAGCAGCTTCCAGTGGAGCGCTCATAGAACTCAGAGTATATAAGTTAAAAGTTCTCTTTTCTGTTGCTGTGGTTCTACAAAAATACATTTTAAGATCATCTGAGGCAAGAACATTATACTTTTAAGCATCATTATATGTAATATTGCACCCATAGGGCAACAATACCATTTTGAGAACCAAAAGTTTAACTTTTTATTTTTTTTCTTTGAATTAGGACAATGCACATTCATCAACATGTCAGCATAAAGCATCAATATAAATATGCCAGAATTAGCACAACAGCTAATCTGCATCCGCTGTCCTAAGGCAGGTAAAAACAGTGAACATTAAACAAGACGCTACAGGAGAGAACAGAGTGGACACAAACAGATAAGATGCCAATAACTTAAAATCACAATAAAATAAGGTTAACAATAAAATCAGGTTAACAGGCCCATGGAAACAGATGAATTTACCTGTGAACACATGTCTGGTTAGTTTTCAACCAGTGTTTCAAGGAGAATTTAAAATATATGTAGGTTAGACAGCCCCTAAAATGAGATGTCACCCATTCCAGGTAGGCAATAAAAAGTTCTACTGGGTTCAGTTTGTATTACCGTAGTCTTTTTCCTGCTTCACAAAGGTAGGCAGCAGCTTGACAAAGCCATGATGGCAATTATTTTACATCCAAGTAGTACAGTATGCAGTACTTCATATATACACACACACACATCAATTTTAAACAGATGGTATTGGTATCGGCTGATACTGCACAGCCAGGTACCGGGTATCTGGCCTATTTACTGTTTTTCATGCGTCATTTAAAAAAAAATTGAAATGTTGAGAGAATCAGGGCAACCAGTGGACCTCCAAGACTAATGGCAACCTCTCTTGGCATAGCCGATTCTGCATGCTCCTGTTCTCCCTGAATCCATACTTTCTTGTGTTCTTGTCAAGAATATACTTGGCAAGAACACGAGTTCATACTCGCGTTCTTGTGAATTGAGAAACGGCCTAAGTTTCCTGGAGATTTGACAGGCAATTTAACTTGGCACAACTGCTTTTATGCATGTTTACCAATAACTATTTTAAAAACAAATGGGCAGTGAGATGAATAATGATTATTTTAGATCTCCTAGTTAGGTTTGTTTATTGTCGATCAGTATGAGTTATTTGAAATTAGTGTTAAATTACTGCTGTAGTTCTTTGTTTTAGCCACAGGTGGCAGTATCATTAGAAAATGCCTCTTTAAAGGTAGAGCATAATTTTGATTAAAACTATGTAACAGGACATTTTAGTTCAATTACAGATATTACCACTACTTGTATGACCAACAGTGGTATAAGTTGTATAATTGTCAACTTTAATATTAAGATTCCTTCCAACTAATCTCACTCAGCAGTAATTTTCTCCCAAACATTAAAGGATCTCTTTTCCCCAAAAAGACCAGGGGTTTAATCCCAAAAGAACTCTCTGCTGGACAGTTCTGTGTTTCTTAAGATATATCTACAGCCTTCATTTAAAATGTCTTGCTGCTGCTAACCTTGATTCTTTGCATGGTAGTTTTTCTCTGTTTTTTTTTTACAGGTGCTAGGCTAATGATAGCCTTATTAGGTTGTTTTGATAGAGCTTGTTTATATTTATGTTTGCCATTTTTTTATTGGTGGGATTCCACCTACTTGTTTTCTTACAAAACCTAGAGAATCAGTTTCATAAATAACATATTTGGGGCTTTCTTTGAACAGTAAACATGACGGATCACAGCGGTGCAGAATAAAGGACTTTGTTCTGCAACCAGAGCGTAGTCTGAATCCCAGTTCCATCCTTCTCATTCGTTGTGTCTTTGGGCAAGACACCTCATGTGCATTACTCACTGATGGTGGTCAATGTGTGTTACTGTCAGCGTGCCCCAGAGCAGCTGTAGCTACGATGCACCTCAACACTATTACTTTGTGAATGTATGTGTGAATGACTGAAGGTAGTGTAAAGCGCTTTTGGAGTACTCTGACTTGAAAAGGCAATTTATAATGTAATATGCAATGTTAGAGCTGTTTTCTCTGCAGAAAGCCTGTTTCAGTAGACTCACAAACTAATGTATAGCCTGTTATTATTGTTAAACAACTGTACACAAAAAGAAAGCAATTCTTAAAAATAATAATGGGAGAGTTGTGGCCACATAACTACTGGTGTTGCATAAATGCACAGAATTGACACACTAATGATAAACATTTGGAGTTGAGTCTTGTTTCTGTATTCCAATAATTTGTAAAAGATTTGATGGATAAACCGAACCATACCTTAGATTTAATCCAGACATCTTTAGTGTTTGGATTAAATCTATGAAAGGACGTGATCATGTACTGTTTGGTTTTTCAGGTTGCAGGCTCGAATTGCTCACCGAATTGCTGAATTGGAGAACCTGCCTGGTTCTCTGGCTGGTGATTTACGTACCAAAGCTACAATAGAGCTCAAAGCTCTTCGTTTGCTGAACTTTCAGAGACAGGTAGGAAATAAAGTATGTTGAACTTAAAACATAAAGATTATATCTTCAACATAATATTCTCGGTGGAACACTTTGTGCTGCCTCTAGCTGCGTCAGGAGGTGGTGGTGTGCATGCGACGCGACACAGCTCTTGAGACCGCCTTGGATGCCAAAGCCTACAAACGGAGTAAACGTCAGTCGCTGCGAGAGGCCCGCATCACGGAGAAGCTGGAGAAACAGCAGAAGATTGAACAAGAGCGCAAACGCAGACAAAAACATCAGGTAAAGGAAAAAAACTCAAGTTACATGTATGATAATCATCATATAGTATTTCTCAGATAATTTATATATTTTTTTTCACTTGTACCTATCTACACCCTACTTGATAACAGGAGTACCTCAACAGCATTCTCGCGCATGCCAAAGACTTCAAAGAGTATCACCGTTCAGTCACCGGAAAGATTCAGAAGCTGACCAAAGCCGTGGCCACCTACCATGCTAACACTGAGCGGGAACAGAAGAAGGAGAATGAGCGCATTGAGAAAGAGAGGATGAGAAGGCTTATGGTAAGAAGTGACAGAAAGAAGGCTACCTAGAAAAGATATCAGGAAAGGAGCGGATACCTGTTCCAGTCCAATGACACATTAAAGTTAACATTACATATGTGCATAGAATAGAATAGAATAGAATAGAATAGAATAGAATAGAATAGAATAGAATAGAATAGAATAGAATAGAATAGAATAGAATTAACATTTGTAGTGGAGATAGTCATGCATGCCAGCAGGTAAGCTGAGTGCAAATAAAAGCATTTAGATACACATAAGGAAAGTAAATCTAAAAAAAAAAGAAAAAAGTAAAAAAGAGAATATACCTCAATGAGGTAATAGCTTTATTAGAATGTATGTTAACATATTAGTTGGTAATATATTTTAGCTAATGTGATATAAGCCTGTGTTATCTCAGCTAAGTGTAGACCACTGATCTCTATTTATTTACTGTATGTGATTGGCCATCGGTAGTACACATAGCTATGAGGTTACCAGCGGCCATATTGGTACTCCCCAGTCAGACTGGTCAAAATGTAAACAATACATGTGCTACAGCATCAAACAACAAAGATTTTAACACTTTCACGGGGGCTTAAAAATTTTAAAATAAAGTCATCACTTTGACACACACTTGCTGTTTCATGGCATCAGTAGATTACTGTGATTTATGGTAAAAAAAAAAAAAATAGGCACATCACATTGCACAGTCATTATGAAGTCCATAAATAATGTAATATAATATATTATACAAATCCATCACAACAAAAGTAGTGTGTTAATGGAGCATAATAATACTAAAGTCAGATATCAAAAATACGCTTTATTAGCTTGGTTAAATGCAAAATGCTAGGCTAATTTTAGCATCAACATCTGTATTAATATGACTTATTGATAACACACTGCTTGTTAAAGTGGTCTTTAGGCTGCTCTCCATACTCAGTCAGTTTAATACTGATTGTTTTTGCCTAGGACCTGAGGTATACCTTTAATTCACACAATAACTATTGGGAACCCTTTGATTCTCACCTGTTTGTTTTTCACAGGCTGAAGATGAAGAAGGTTACCGTAAACTGATCGACCAGAAGAAGGATAAGCGCCTGGCCTATTTGCTTCAGCAAACTGACGAGTATGTTGCCAACCTTACAGAGCTGGTTAGAGCCCACAAAGCTGCACAGGCTCTCAAGGAGAAGAAAAAGAAGAAGAAGAAAAAGAAGAAGGTAAAAAAAAAATAATAATAACTATATATGTTTTTGAAAGTTATATCCACCAGTAACCTTTGTCTGCTGCTGATTTTTCTTGTGTTGCAGTTAGAGAACGCAGAGGGCCAGGCTCCAGCTCTCGGGCCGGATGGAGAGGTGAGCCATTTATGGCATGAAAAGAAAACAGCCGCATCTTTTAAATAAACAGTATCAATACAAACAGCAGTTTTATTGTTTTTTTATGAACAATAACAATAATCAATGTTTCAATGAAGCCTAATGAAAATGACTTGAAAATCCTGGATACCTTCTGTTGCAGCCCCTGGATGAAACAAGCCAGATGAGTGACCTGCCTGTTAAGGTCATCCATGTTGACAGTGGGAATATCCTGACAGGCGTTGATGCTCCCAAGGCTGGACAGCTGGAAACATGGCTGGAAATGAACCCAGGGTGAGAAAAATATAACACATAGATGAAGGATGAAAACCAGGAAAGCTCAGAGGTTGGCGAGTGACTTCACAGATTCTTTAGACGCTTTAAGTCTTATTGAAAATGTTCTTGGTTTTAATATCTGTCTGTCTATTATAGAAATACTGTATTTGGAAAAATGTTATTTGGAAAATTTCCAATAAGCCCGTACAAACAAAATATTAAAAATATAATTTAATTAGAAATAAAAAGGTTTGGAATCATCCAACATCTCCCAGCCAAGTTCAAAACTCTCTAAAAAAAAAAAAAATCAATAAAGTAACTATTAGCCTTGTTCAGATGTTTTTCTATTGTATAAAACACCTTTTTTAGTAGGTTTTTAGCTTCTACACTACATGTTCTTGGTTAATTAGCTTACTTGCAAACTAAAAAAAAAGCAAGATCGGATATATTAACAAATTTTTAAACATATAAGGTTAATTATTTTTGGACCTTTGGTTATACGGGGTGATAATATGGAGTTCCTCTTCTGTTCCTACAAGGCAGCATGGTACATTTTCTACCCATTTAGGTTTATCCTGTTTTTCGTGCCAAAAAGCTTTTAAAGTTATAACTTTAGAAAGAGAAAAATCGTTTGATTTAACATTGTTGATAATTTGTGTCTGTTTAGTTACGAGGTAGCTCCTCGCTCCGACAGTGAAGACAGCGAGGAGGAGGAAGAGGAGGAGGTGGGTTGCGCTCCTAAGGTTAATATAAAACTTACAATCTACACACTATACATATCCTCACTTCTGTTGAGAATTCAACAACCTAAAGCTGGGAAACTGTTTGGTAGGAGGAAGAAGAGGAGCCTCAGCCTTCATCAGCTCCTGTGGAAGAAAAGAAGAAGATTACAGACCCTGACAGTGAAGACGTGTCAGAGGTGGACGTCCGACATATCATAGAGTGAGTTTTCCTGCTACGATACGGTTAGATGACTTTAACCTGCTGCCTTTGAAGTGAAGCTACCTACCTGTTCTGTGCAGGAATGCTAAACAGGATGTGGACGACGAGTACAGCGGGGCGGCTTTTGCTCGAGGACTCCAGTCATATTACTCTGTGGCTCACGCCGTCACAGAGAAGGTGGAGAAACAGTCCACTTTACTGATAAATGGACAGCTCAAACAGTATCAGGTAAACACAAGTACTTACTGTATTTTCACGACCATAAGGCGCACCGGACTAAAAGGCGCACTCTCAGTTA